GGACAATTTGCGGGCTTGGATATAAATTTTTTGTCTTTACTTTTTAGACCAGACCTTGTTAGCATGCGTGGAGGTGCGGTGGCCTCATGGTTAGAGCGCTTGACTCTGGATCGAGTGGTCCGGGTTCGAGCCCCGGCCACGACATTGTGTTGTGTTCTTAGGCAAGACACTACTCTCACAGTGCCTCTCTTCACCCAGGTGTATAAATGGGTACCGGCAATTTAATGCTGGGGGTAACCCTGCGATGGACTGGCATCCCATCCAGGGGGGAGTAGAAATACTCCTAGTCACTTAATGCTACAGAAACCGGAGTTAAGTACCAGCCTAATGGGCCACTAGGCTCGTAAACAGACTTTACCTTTACCTTGTTAGCATGGACATTTTGTTGCCAAATTCGGACCTTGTGACAGCTCTCTAGCTCTCTCAAATTGTCGAATATTTTGTGGTTATATGAATAGCGACGAGATGATTTTTCTCCCCAAGAGAAGATAATTGGGAACAATTATGTTCTCTTGAACTTGAAATGCATGCAACAAATCCAACAAATAAAAAAGGTACTGCATGGATCTGCATCAAATTATATACTCAATGACTTACATTTAACAGGTGTAAATGAAAAGAAGCTGCTGACCAGCACATTCAAAATGGTTATCTTTGTCAAAGGCTGTAAATGATGTACCGGTCCCCAAAAACTCACGCAAGAATTTGTGCTCTTGCTTTCTCTGAGATGTGAGTAAAACTAATCGTGTAAGCCGTCTTTTAATGGTCTACTAATTGAATTAAGGGAAAAAAAAGGAAAAATGGTTTGCTCGACGCGCTGATCTCTTTATCGATCAAACATAAGATAAAACAGCCTAACCGGTCTGTGAAACGGACTTTTCCTCTGCTGAATCGGAACTATCAGTGATATGCACGTGAAGAGCATAACTTTTCCGTTTCAAATTAGCTGGCAGTAACACAAAAGATTTGCCTATTAACGTTGTATCGACTGGTTAAACCGACTTTGAAAAGATTCTTGAGTTCATGTAGAAACGAAGTTTTGATTGGTGATGATAAAAATAGCACTAGGTGCGAAAAACATTTCACGAGCCTGTGAAATATTTCCAGAAGTTTTCTTCGAGATCTACATCGAATGTATTACGTGACGCTAAAACTTGCTTTGATTTAACATAAGATTTGATATTTTTTAGCCGTTATGGTTTTAGCGTTCCTAGCATTAATGTGGAATAGGTTTATGGCCGATAAAGATGGTGAAAAGATCGTTTCCTTTAGCAGAAAAGATCGTCTGCTTTAGCAGACGACGTCTATGAAGCCCTGCTCGACCTGGTTGAATGCGTGCAGCCGCGGCTGTGCGATACTGGAGAGCCGGCGAAAGGATATCATTCAAAGAAGACCATGGTGATAAGGCACTTTATTACCAGGGACGTCGAATGTTAAAATCATCAGAGGTGAGAAGTTAAAGAATTTGAAAGGACGATAGAATCTGGTGTGGGGATGCTGGCTTTCTCTCTGAGGGACAACCTTTTTGGGAGTAAGTCGAACTAAAATTATGAGGAAGGAAATTTTAGTATACTTTGAAAGTCATCCGTGCAATAGCGACGGCCTACCTCTTTTGGAGAATTTGGCAGATGATGATCACGAGTTCGCTTGCTTGGACGACCATTTAACTCATATGGCGCGAAATAAGACCCATGGGGATCAGATAACAATGTATGCAGCAGCAAACCTGTCCAACATCGACATCCAAATAGTGTCCCCTCTATGAGTTGGTGGACAGCATGTATTCAGTTCTTCAGCAAGTTTTTCAGCAGGTACCGTGTATCTTGGACATTTTGCTATGAACCACGGCGAACACTATATGAGCTTGCAACAAGTTTCGGATTACAACGACGGTGGTGAAGAAGACTACGAAGCAAATGACCCAGGAGAAGGAGGAGTTTTCGAGGATTATGCAAATAAAATGCATATGGAGTAGGATTTTGAAGTGGATGATACTGTTGATTATCAGGAGGACATAGACGCAAAAAGTGGACCTGATATTATCGTCAGCCATGGTTGCAACACGGATATAACTGCATATATAGCTAAAGGATTACACATGGTTGCCGAACTAACGAAACGGAGACTGAATAGCATGCAAAATAAAGGCGACAAAGGCATAGTCAACGATGGTGATAAGCTAATAGATGTTTAGTTTGTTTTAGACGTAGACATCGACTTATTTGCGGTGAGAAGGGATGTCGAATGTCACATTGCAATACTTCTTCTTTGTAATTGCAGTCGTAAGTGTGGGGCTGGTGGTGACTAAGATTACACGCAGCTGGGGCGGTAGGTGCTAGGCATTCTGACTGTGCAGCATAACTACACAACAACTGAAACCAGCGGTCAAACGTTGGGCATGGGCAAGTGGATCAATCTGGCAAGCCGCGCCGGCACAAATTCCCCGCGCAAAATTTTCAACGAAAACATCAAGAATCAACCGCTGTAGCCAAATAAGTAAAAGTAAATCTATAGGAATCTGCAAAAGGAATTAAAAGAAGGGAAAAGAAAAACTGGAGAATTTTCAAACCTAAAGCTTATTCAAATACTTTATCCTTCAATTTTAAGCTTAACTAAATACGCTACTGCGCTTCTAAAACACAATGACTTACCCGCTTATGTGGTTGATTGTAACTTTTGGACAATATCTGAGACGAAGTCACAGAAAGCGGCAGAAGGGCTAGACAGTCAAAACAAAGAAAAAATTTAAACGGCCCTCTTGGGTTTATTGCGCTACAAACACAGCTGGCTCTCTTTCTTGATTCTCAAAATAAACAAATCATTCTTGATTCTTGTTAGAGCGAAATCTTTTTTATTTATATTAATTCCTCCATTGACTAAGCTAACCGCTTCCCGGTTAGCTCAATTGGTTAAGCGCTAGACTGATGCGCGGGAGGTCGAGGGTTCGAGCCCCGGCCGGACCAACACTTAGGGTCTTAAAATAATTGAGAAGAATATGCTACCTTTCTATAACATCGATCAAGAAATGGTTAGATATTCTAGTCTTCTCGGATAGGGACGAATAAATGGAGGTCCCGTCTCCTGCATCTATTCATTAGTTAATTTGGTTAGGCAGGGGACGTTAAAGAACCCACTTCACGAGATTACTGTGATGTGGTCTGGCCTGGTTACTGGGAATTGGGGGGAGGGG